CGGTACATGAACGCTCTGACTTTTGGCGGGATATTCAATGCCCATAAAAATTTCCACCATTTAGCATTAGAGTTGTAACTACAGCTTACCTCCATTCCAGGGGTCTTAATTGTATATGCCAGCCAGTACCCCGATTTGACACAATATTCACCATCTTCAGAGTGTCTCCAAATCAATCGGTCCGGGGTCGGTAATTTCCCAAGGGGGATGCTTCGGATAGCCTCCCTGTCTACCGGATTGAACCATTTTTCTAAAAGACCATGATTCCACCCTCTATCGGTTATAAGGTCAGAGACCGTATGGATCTGTGGCACTGCTTGAGACATAGACTTGAAAGATATTGCCTTAGGGATCCACGGGTCATGGAACGCAGCGATTGACCTCCCATTGCCAACTCTCCAGATAATTCCCTTCAATAGAAGCTCGCGACCCCACATAAAACTTGTCCATAGGAATGATCCATGTCTACGAACATTGTCTGATAATAGATGGCCATAATAGTAGTACTTGCATTTATTGACACGGCTCACCAAGGAATTCGGGTTCTGAAGAATGCGCCAGACTTGTTTTGCCAAAAGAGCTTGGTTAAAACTTTCCATGTCTCTGAAACTCATCCCACCATCCACCTTATTTTTGCAAACCTGAGACCATTTATTCCAGTGTAGTCTTCGTTTCGTATCAGAACCACCCCACCAAAAAGACGCCATCAATTTCTGGACCCCACCCAAACAGGTTGCTGGAACTCTAAAAATCCCCATAACATAAGTTGGGATAGCTTGGATTACCGCTTTGAGGAGTACTTCCCTTCCACTGTAGGAGAACAGGTTATGCTTCCAAGCTTGCACTTTTCTCCACACTCTATCTTTAAGGAACTGAAAAATTTCAGCTTTTCGTCTTCCAATAAGTGATGGTAATCCCAGGTACTTGTCATGTGATCTAGCTGTGTCCAGTCGAAAGAGCTCCAGAATACTACGCTTTTGAATTTCAGGAACATTTGGGCTGAAAGTGATATCTGACTTCAACAGATTAATTTGTTGTCCCGAGGCCTTTTCATATGAATGTAGTAAGTTCAGAACGTGCTGACTGTCATGAATGTTGGCTCTGCAACAAACCAAGGAATCATCAGCAAAAAATAAGTGGCTAATTCGGGGACCATACCTTGAGCATGCGACACCTTTAATTTCGCCCATAAGAGCTGCTTTGGAAATTAAGCAGGAGAGTCCTTCAGCACAAAGCAAGAAGAGATAGGGAGACAGAGGGCATCCCTGTCTCAAACCCCTGCTTGGGCGCACAAATCCCCTGGGTTCTCCATTGATCAAGAAGGAGAATGTAGCAGACGAAACACATCTCATGATCAGCCCCACCCATTCTTCATTAAAGCCCATCTTTTGCATTATGGCGGCGAGAAAACCCCACTCCACACGATCATAAGCTTTTGACATATCCAATTTCATCGCCATCATTCCGTTACGCCCCTTAGTCTTGTGAGAGATGGAATGCATAGTTTCAAACCCAACGATCACATTATCAGTAATAAGTCTACCCGGAACAAAAGCACTCTGATTTTCAGAAATCACATCTCCTAAAATGATCTTCAAGCGATTCGCAATGGTTTTTGTAATGACTTTATATATCACATTACATAGACTGATGGGCCTGAACTCTTGTATATTGGTCGGATTTTGGATCTTCGGAATAAGAACTACATTCGTGTGATTCAGCTTTTCCACCGAATCCCCTTCATTCAACACCGCTAGACAGACCTTCACCACATCCTTACCCACCACCTCCCATGACTTCTGATAGAATATAGCGTGAAAACCATCAGGCCCTGGTGCCTTGTAAGGACCCGTCATAAATAGTGCATCACGTACCTCTTTGTCAGTAAAGGGGTCTCTAAGAACTCTATTCATATGATCAGAGACTACAGGGTTCACAGCCTGGGTAACAGCCTCGATGTCTTCGGGGGATGGTTGGGAAGATTGGAACAGGGTGTGAAAGTAGTTCGTCACCACATCTCCAATTCCCTCACAATCAGTTCTCCAGGTGCCATTCACATCAAATAACCCAATCATGGTGTTATTTACCTTCCGAGCTGAAGCTTTACTGTGGAAGAACTTAGAATTGCGATCACCATGATGTAACCAGTCCACACGGGATCTTTGTTTCCAATAAAGTTCTTCCTTGTTTAACAAAAGTTCCAGTTCACCCTCCACTGACCGAATCTTCTCAAAATTCGTCACCGAGAAGTTTGCCTCCTTAAGTCGATTCAACTTTGAACGAATAGTCTTAATTTTAGCCGGAAGCTCCCTAATATTCCCACCCCACTGGACAAGCCTGTCTCTGCATGCCTCTATCCTGCCAACAAAATTATCAATGCAGTCCCTGCCATTAGTCCTGCCCATTTCACCACCCATACTAACTGATTCAGGCCGCCCTTCAATACCGTCACTATCCACATGGGAATTGCGTCCCAGTCTCCATCCTTCATATATGACATCAATGTAGCCTTTCTCACATAGCCAGAGTGGCTCAAATTTGAATTGTCTTTGTCTCTTGCGCCTTGGAGTCTCCCTACTATGTCGCTGAAGAACGAGTTCAATGGCACGGTGGTCTGAGCCATAGAAGTCGAGATGCGAAACCAGAGCCCTGGGGAACAAGTCACGCCACTCCAAAGTGGCCAAGGCCCTATCAAGTCGAACGAGAATATTATTGTCCGCCCGCGAGTGTTTGGCCCACGTAAAATCCTGGCCTAAGAAACCGAGATCACTCAATTCGCAATCCTGTACCATTTCTTTAAAGCCCTCCATAGATAATCTGGTCCGGTTACTTCCTCCCCATTTCTCGTTAGCCATCAGAATTTCATTAAAGTCGCCTATGCAAACAAGCGGGTGTGCACATCCCCCTACCAATCTTCGCAAGAGTGTCCAGGAGTTGTGACGTTCCGAAGCTACCGGATCCCCATAGAAGTTGATGAGATTCCATTTTGGTCCATTTCTGTGAGAGACAACAGAATGGAAATGGAATTTTGAGAAGGATATAAGTTGGACCTCCCAATCCTCTCTCCACATTAACATTAATCCACCGCTATTACCCACACTATCGACAGTTAATCCCCCACTGAATCCGAGTCTGATGTGAAAATCCTTTGTTTTATAGCCTCCTAGCCGAGTCTCTAGGAGGAAGAGGAGCGAAGGCTTCTTGTCCCGGACAAGACGCCTCAAATTTGCGAATGCTCGAGGACTCCCCAAACCTCGAGCATTCCACCATAGTAGACTCATTGTTCTCGGCGGGGCTGATCATCAGCCACCGCCGTTGCATCAGTCGTATTCAACCTCGACACTTCAACTTTCATCCTCTTACCTGAAGCAATGTCATCCCCGTCGACATCCACCTTCCTCTTTGTTGGGCTGGATTTGGATTTACTAGGTGAATGACTTCCTGGTCCCCTTCTAGCATTACGTTTCCATTTCCTCTTATACATATTCGGACTCCCCTCCCCTGTCTCCAAAATAGCTTTGTCTTTTGGCCTGAGGTCATGTTCTCCAATACTTTTCCCATCAGCTAATTCTTGCTTCTTATCTGCTATCAAGCTTGGTTTTGTGGTATTTGTTTCCTCATCTAGATTAGGATCCTTCCCAACGTTAAACCCAGTGTCGGAATTTGCCACAGAATTACCAGTCGATACAGATGATTTGGATCCAACAACGATAAGTGATTTCATTGAGTTTGGGATTTGTGTCAGGTCTGTTTGCATCATTTCACGTTGAACTAAATTCAGTTGCCCCTCACCACCTCCAGTAGGAGGCATTTCCTCAGAATTTGATTCCTCCACTTTATCAGAACTTTCTTCGGTATTATTATCACTTCCCGAATTGTTTGCCTTTTTCCTTCCAGTACCATCCTCCCTTCGGTTATCTCTCCACTGTCCAATAGCAGCTCGCACCCGATGGCCAAAGGGGTGGTTCTCCTGACGTCTTAACACCGGAGGGACTTCCAGATTGCAATACTTGAAGCCATGGTCGAGATATCCGCATAGCGTGCAGTATTCCGGTAATCTTTCGTATTTAAATTCAACCTCCACCGTACCACCCATAGATCCTAATTGCAGGTCCATCGTTGCGACCAAAGGTTTGGAAACATCCAATTTGACCCTAATCCGCATATATGAGCCCCAACATGATCCACTCAAATCCGTATCCACTTCTACATAAATCCCCAACTGTGCACCAATAACCTCAGCTATTTCTCTGTTCATAAAGATAAAAGGGAGGTTGTGCACCTGTATCCAGAATGCCGAGTGAGAAGGATGAGCATTAGGAGCAGAATTTTCGTCTATTTCTTGGAGCACGATTAACCGCCTTTCAAACGACCATGGTTCACCTCGTATGACCTTGCTTCTATCCACCTCGCTTTCAAATTCGCAGAAAAAGTTATCTCTATCCGTAAACCGGATCTTGATCATACCATTTTTTCCCCAAAGTGCCTGCATGACAGATTTGAAAGCTTCCCGTTTGAGCGATCTATCACCCAGAACCCTCCCTACAATCCCGTGTTTTAAGAAGCTTCAGCTGTGCTGCACCAAGGTGTCCGAGACTTCCACAACTTTCCCAGCTGAGCCCGTTATATTGAACTGCCGTAATAGCGCCTGAATATCTTCCATGAAGCAGATTCTCTATTTGGTCGAATGGGTCGAAATGGGAATCTGATAGAGGGAAAACTGTTAATAAGAAAGTCCACGGAGCAGATTCTCTATTTGGTCGAATGGGTCGAAATGGGAATCGGAGAGAGGGAAAACTGTTAATAAGAATAAGACAGGCCCCCAAGCCCCGAAATTGAGTCTGAGAGCAGGAGAAAAGGCGGCCACCGGTGAATGTGTACGTCCTTATGATATATATATATAAATGAAAAATATCGCTCTCGCTTTCTAAAGGTTAATTGAAAAATTTTAAGTGTTCCTTTCGAACTCAAATGTAAAAAAGGTAAAATAAAATAAAATAAAGTCACTACCTATAATCAACACAACAATTTTTCCATATGTACAGAAGGATTTTCATCAGAATTCCACCAGATGAGAGATAAAGAGTGGATTCCACCGTGTATTTAAATATTGCAAAAAATGGGGGGCCCACGGTATTGTGTGTTTTCTGTTGTGTTTCTGTGGTGTGCTTTTCTGTACACCCAGAATGGTTCATCAACACAATTGTCATGACAGTTGCAATGAAAAATGAGGGTCTTTCGTTTTGTCTTAAAATTTGGAATCCATAATCAAAATTAACACTCGACCTGTTTTCTTGTGTCCTTTTCAATTGTTGCTAAAAAAAGTTACACGAGCACAATAACATATTTTTATTTAATTTTCTAATCATTTTAAGGGCATATTAGTCCTCAAAATCGAACAAAACTAGATTGTACCGCGTAAGTAAATTTTTTTTTTCTTATTATTATATTGTCTACCTTACTAAACATGCAATAGAGATTTCTAGAGCATGATTCAAGTCGTAATGGTAACTTCATCAAAAACTAACAAGATCTCCACCTATAGCGTCGAGGTTGCGAGGCCGGGGGTGCAATTGCAGTCAAATGCTAGATGTGAGGGATGCAGCCAAAATTTAAGACTGAGGAGCAGTGTAGGTAATTGGATTACACATTTGGTGTAAAAATGAAAAGGCTTCCAAAGTGCTTTAGAATTTCGTGGAAATATAGTGGACTAGCCTGAATGGAAGGATTCGTAGAAACAACATTCTAGAATGGTCTATTAATAGTAAACTCGTGAAAAGTTGTACAAACAATTGTTGACGAGCAACTATGCTCCAAATCACCGTCAACAGATTCTAGCTACGATTCCTTCTGTATGTTCTCGGTTCTCCTTCTGTACATGATGATACTGTTAGAGGATAACGACAACATATCCAGACAGAGAGTTTGTTATCGTTTGCACTTTGCCATCGAACGATCAAGTAAGTCACTAGAAAAATCTTCTAAAAGCCAAGCTTACAAGTTCTCAAGTAGAAGGGGGAAAAAGTGTAGCAAGGAGAAATATTTTTTCATTCCTTTTCCTTGTGAACAATGGACAATTTAATGGTATTTACAATGAATGGACAACATTACGGTCCTTTTCCTCTATTTGGAACACGCGCTAATGGAGGATTTTTACTTTCAGAATGTTCCTCTAACAAACATGATTTTTTTTGGAATTAACCTATTTTTACTGTTAAAATTTGGATCATTGATTTAAAAAATGGTTGTTGAAAATAGATGAATATGATGTTATCGAGTGTGAGTTGTCAACTAATATTGTAAAAAAAAAAATTGTACAAGTAACATGATTCTTTTTTTTTTTTTGGTGAAGTTTTCCTTCACATTGGTTTTGTACACGTGTCACTTCTAATACTCCAAGTGCTTATTTTTCAACCTTTTTTTCACTTAGAATGCGTTTGATTGCGACTATGAAATTTGTATAAAAAGAAAATAAATTCTAGACAGCTCAATTGCCTAGAACTTATTTGTATAAAAATTATTGATTAAATGTGTTTAATTGATTTAGTTTTCAATCTAGAAAATATTATATTTATCCATTTTTTATTGGCGGGTAGCTGAGAGAGAGAGAGAGAGAGAGAGAGAATTGATTAGAAAATAAAAATCAACATTCCTTAAAGAAAATGTTTTCTTTGTTTTTGAGAAAATATTGTCACGTGATTAAAAGTTGAAAAATATTTTTCATAGAAAAAATTGTCAATCAAACACTCCAAAAGTAGGAATTTTACTTCCAGAATATTCTTTTAACAAATATGAATTTTTTGTATTGGTGAAATTTTCCCCATATTTGTTGTTTACACGTGTCATGTACTAATAGGTCGAGTGGTTATTTTTCAACATATTTTTGGCTTAATCTTTTTTGCACTTTTAACCGATTGATGCTTGCACGGCAGTGGTCCCCATTTGCTCATTATCGAAGGTTTATTCAATTATCATAATTCACCAAAATTCATACTTTTGGAGTGTTTGATAGACCGTGTTTTTTTTGGGTGTGTGGCTCCGTTTTTTTCTCTTCATTGGGTGCTTGCGTTACAGCTCGTGAAGCTTTTGTCATAAAAACAGTCTCCCCAAGTCCAAGTCTAATATTTATGTTAAATCGTGGATTTAAAAGTCTATTGTTTTGAACGTTATCTCGCTATAGATTTTTAGAGACCTTTTTACCATCTTGGGTCGCTTATGTTGTGATCCATGATTTGTGTTTGATGATGGTCTGCGAAGTCTAATTTATGCCAAGCCTCTGTTTGTTTTTTAAATTAAAAGTCTTTATATCTCATACTCATTTTTAATCACATATTTAGACAATAAAATATTGTGGCATACCATACATTCTCTAAAAAATCATTTCAAAACATCATTCTTTTCCAATTCTCTCTATGATGGCGATCAAACAAATGCTAATGCAAAACTTTAAGTTGTGGCAATTGATTGTGCATAGGGACACACGGCACATTTCTCGAATTCGACAATTACGTGAGATGTGAAGGTGGTGTCGTCATCATTGCCTGGGTCATGATTGGAACCACGCGTTTCACCTCGTGTAATGTGAAACTTTAGGGAAGTGTTCTCAATTGCAATCATGCTAGGCTGACGAGAGGGTTTGACACCCTCCCTGACAGGCCCCTCACAACATGGGAGTTGGGGGGAAATTTCTTTCTTTTTTAATTCATATGGGCCCCGCATGGTCCCACCACAAATGTGAGAGGATGTCAACGAAAGTGTCAAATTTATTTTGGCAAGTTTAGGATGGATTTCAAGTTTAAAAATACATATAAGCGACGGCATAGGGAGATGGGGCAAGGCTAGACTTTAGCCTAGTCCTTCCCCTGAATGCCCATTTAATTTTAAGTAACCTAGTAGAATTTTTTTCTTTTATTTTTGTCCCTCCTTGCTCCGCCCCTCCGTATAACTAAATTTTTTGAAATTTCACCATATTTGAGATTCTTATAAAATTTATGAAAATCTATTCAAATCAAAGAAATTTATTATAATTTATAATCTTTTAAAATTCATCAAAATTTAGGACACCTCCGTTATATACTAGCATGCGTGGAAGGTCGAACGGATCTCTTATTTTCAATTTCCAATAATGGCTCTTTATATTTTTTCGCTCGTGTAGATCTAAGGGTGTGTTTGATAGGGGATATTTTCCATGGAAAATGGAATTCAAATTCCATTATCCATCTTTGCCATGTTTGATGGTACAAATTTTCTCTAGAAAACTTTTTCCACAATTCTCTCACACGTGTGCCAATNTAGAAAACTTTTTCCACAATTCTCTCACACGTGTGCCAATTCCATGATTTGGTGGAATTGGTTTTCCCACCTTTTTGATGGGAAAATGAATTTCATGTTTCTGTTTTTTATTTTTTATTTTTTTGCAATGGAAACAAATTTCATAATCAATTGTAAAAAAAATTTCACTTTAATTGACAATTTCCATGTAGAACAAGGCCAAATGAACACTAAAATTTGATGAAAAAAATGACTTTTTAGGAAAAAAATTTCGTTTTTTTTTAACTTTTTGGCAACGAAAACAAATTTTATAACCAATTGTGAAAAAAATTATCACTTTCATGGACAATTTCCATGTAAAATAAAGTCAAACAAACACAAAATTTAAAAATTTTCCTGGTGAAAAATTATACAAATCAAACACACTTAATTTCCAATTCTCTGGAAAACAATTTATAGGCAATTACTTTCCCTGAAATTCATTTTCTTTTCACCTATTTTCCACCATTCCAATCAAACGTACCCTAATTGAAAATTGATGATCACGATCATTCTTGATTTTTTCAAGGTTCAGGATTAATCTTCATTGTTCCTTATTAAAAGGGGGTCTTGCTCTTATTTTAGACTTTGATGCATTTCTTCCTCTACATTCAAGTCTTTGCTTCTACGTACTATGTTTTGTACCTTTTGTTCTAGGTTTCCATCATTTACTACTTTGATTTTTTCCTTTTTGTGAGGGTACATCTTTTATTATCATTAATCGGTGAAATTTTAGAACCAGTGATTCCCAGAACCCTAATTGTGAGAAGTTATTTAGGGGGTCTTAGAATTACGTTGTTGAAGTTGCTAGCAAATTGGACTCTAATGGGAACATTTCATCGCGTGAATCTTGTGAGGTAATTGCTATATGTGTTGAACCCATGTCCATTTGTTTGCCCTTTGGGAAGGACATTAATTTAGACAAGTTAAATCGAATCTCTACGAGGGTAGGCCAAGTGGGGGTTTAGTTGACAAATCGTTAAAGAGGGCTAATGATGGCATTGAAATGGTAGATCGAGTGAGTTATGATGAGGATGAGATTGGTGTTCCCATTGCATCGTCTCCAACTTCACACATGAAGTCTGCTTTCAAACTTGATGAGATTAGGTTAATCTTTGATACAACTTCACGTATGAAGTATGCTTTCAAACTTGATCAAACTTGATGAGATTAGGTTAATCT